TGAAGTGGAGCAATGCATCAGGTCTTGTTTAAAGTGATGGTAATATAGAAGGGGAAGTTATTACTAGAATTCACGTTGGTTGATTGAAGTGGAAGAATGCTTCAATCGGATCTATTGTTTAAAATGATGGCAGTATAGATGTGGATATTATTAGTAGAATAGGAGTTGGCTGGTTGAAGTGGAGGAATGCATCAACCAGATCTATTGTTTAAATTAATGGTGATATAGATGGGGATGTCATTAGTAGAATTCAAGTTGATTAGTTGAAGTGGAGTGAATCAGGTCTTGTTCAAAGTGATGGTGATATAGATGGGGATGTCATTAACATAAATTCATGTTGGTTGGTTGAAGTGGATGAATGCATCAGGTATATTATTTAAAATGATAGTGATATAGATGGGATTGTTATTAGTAGAATTCAACTCGGTTGTTTGAAGTGGAGAATGCATCTGGTCCATTGTTTAAACGAATAAACCACTTTAAAGAGATGTTTAAATATGGTTGACCAAGTAGTGTTGACTTCACTAGATGAAGCGAGTCACATCAAAGAGGTTACTGGGGTGATTTTTTTATGAGAATCGGCTTCTATGAAACACCAAACATAATCATCCAATGTAAGTATCGATTAGCTTTTATTTTGCATAATAATTTCACTAATCTTTAAAGTTACATCTATGTTGTAGATGGAAATTCGTAACTTGAGAGCTTGAATGTATAACAAATTATATTTATGATGAAAAGGAATCACAAATGAGTTCTTGAATGGTGTTGAGGAAGTCGGGTAAGCTTCATTAGAACTGCCTATTTATCATTCAAAGGGTAAGTTCCAGTGTCTTTTTATTAAAAACAAAAATCAAGTGTGTATGCGACTCGAAGAATCTAAATTACATTTTTACTGCAAGGGATTCAAACTAAATTATTTGTACTGGACTGCACATGGTGATCAAGAACTAGAAGTTTAGTATGATCAAGGTGCCTCAACAAGTTATGTCCCTTCACCAAAGGAATAAGATCCTGACACATATAAAGAAATGGTTCATGATGCTTAAAGAGCTCATTTTGTTGAGAGCGTTCCACACGAAAGTGAAACGCTAAATAATGAATCACAACAATTTTACAACTTGTTGAATACTGCTTAATTATCTTTATGGAATTTTTGCACCAGACATACAAAGTTATAAGTGGCACTGCGAATGTTGAGCATAAAATCTAATTTTGACATTCCCAGAGAAACATTCAATTAAATGGCAACATTATTGAAATAGACAAACCCTATAGATAATTTAGTGTCAGATGGCCTATACAAAAAAAAAAAAAAAAAGTCTTAAAGTTAGGGTTGCAATCTGAGAAGAATAATTATCGTGTTAATAGCTGCACGATATATTACAAGGTTGATGTAGTAGAGATGACTTGCTAATTTAGTGGTAGTGATAGATTCAAATAAATGGGGAAAAAGGGTAAGAATCAGAAAAATATTTAATAAAAGCATCTCTTTTATTTCCCGCTCATACCCCGACTTCAGAACTGCTCGCTTCTGTGAGTATAACTCATCACATGACTTAGCATAGTACTGGATTTGTTGATGCTAAATTGGTGAGTTAACCTTCACATGGTGAGGCATGAAGACATTTTGATCGTACATACCCAGACTTTGCTGTTGAAGTACACAATGCTAGACTTGATTTATGTGCAGATGGCTTCACCTGGTACAGTAACGTTGTAACCTTATAATCATGCTAGCCAACAATCATTATGTCGTACAATTTACCCCTGATATTTTTGCATAATCATTTTTTTCTTATTTCTAACATTGATAATATCAGGTTCACATAGGTCAAAGGGAAAAATAGACGTCTACTTACATCCTTTGATTGAAGAACTTCAAATATTATGAAAGACAGGTGTGCTTACTTATGACATCACTAAGAAACAAAATTTTCAACTAATTATAGCTCTTATGCGAACAATTAGTGATTTATCTGACTATGGGATGCTAGATGGTTGGAGCACAACCGAGAAATTGGCTTGTCTTTACTCATAGATATGTCGAGGCATTTACTCTGAAACATCGAAGGAAAAATAGCTGGTTCGACTGCCATTGAAGATTTCTTCATCATGATCATCTATTTAAGAGGAACAAAGACACCTTCTTCAAAAATAGGGTTGAAAGATCAAGTCCACCCCCAGGATAGTTGGATTTGAAATTTTTCAGATAATCAGTGAAGTAACAAAGATCACCGAGGGACCAGAGTTAGCTTCGACTCATATTCTTGATATTAGTGTCACAAACAATTAGACTAAGGGCCCGTTTAGGGCAGCTTACCGTTTGATTCGCGTGTTTCGTCAGCTTATCAGAAACCGCATTTGGGTTTTTACACTAAAAGCAGGCCGCGAGCCGAACCCTGTGGCCCGTCCGCGGGCCGCATTTCAGGATAAGCAGCTTATCATGAAATGCACAAGCTGCCCCAAACACACACTTAGTTCAGTATATTTTGAGATCATATTGTAAGACTAATCTTATTAGACATAATCTCGATGTTATGCATATTGCAATGTATCTCTCTTGAAAGCAAATTGCTGCAACCACTTGGGACTTGTGATTCGCTGAGTTTGAGGTATGATCATGTAATTTGAATTAGAATTCTAAATTTAATTTATTTTATTATACTAACACATGGATTATTTTTTATGTTATAGAGATCCTTCACCTGTCTTATAGAGCACCACCACTAGATCTGCCAGATCTTTGAAATTCAAAGCAGGCATAAGCTTGGTGACATGTTCACCACGAGCAGCCTGCCTAGATCAGCGAGGATCACCGGGGTTAGTTGACCGCAGTTTGGACCTATTCTTCTTATAAGAGAAAGTGGAAGACGGACCGAGTGACAGAGAGGGCTAGAGGAGCTGCACTCCATATTGAAGGATCAATCCCACACATCGAGCACTCTATGAGGCTGGTAAACTTCTTTTAAATATTTAAAAAATTAAATCTTTGGGTAAATATGTGGCGCTAACTAATCTTATGTTACAAAAGCCAGGGTTGAGCCCTCTATTGTGGAGCTTCACGTCTGAACTCATCAATGCCCAGGGAGGCAACAACGGGTCTCGGAGCATTTCAGACAGATTGCTATAAGTAAAAAAAAAAATTTAAAAATTTATTGTAACTCTTACTATTGAAAGTTTCAATTAAACGTTGGTTTTAATTCTGCAGGAGGCGTTTGAGTAGCTTCGAAAGAGGCACTTAGCCTCAGGCTTCTGCAATTAGTAGTGGTAGTCGTTCTACCACTGCGTAGTCCAAGTTCAAGCTTTGGACTCAGACGACAGAAAAGAAGAAGGGTAGGGTTTATGGCTTGGTGTGAAGGGCATAGCCTTTGTGGTCGAGATATCTTGTGGTCTCGTAGTAAGTTCCTCGAGGTCCTTACAACCAGATCAGGATGGTATAGCCAGGCAAGTCACTACAATGAACAAAAAGATCCGTCAGTTGCATGCACAGATGCTAGAAGGCCAACATAGGGTTGATGACTCTATAGTGTGCATGGCAGAGACTTTAGCAGATCGTCGGGGTTAGCGGCCAATGACATCCGTAGAAGAGGAGGAGGAGGTTGAGGAGAGGGAGGGAGATAACAATTAGGAAATACTTTATATGTTTTTTTTAATATTTATTTTTAGCATTTACTTTGAACATTTACTCTGGATTTTTTATTTTATTTTGTTGTTGTTATTTGAGACAATTTGTTACATTCGATGACTTTGCATTAATGATATTTACTTGAGTTATAATCTGAGTTAATGTTGATTATCTGTGGCTACATAAAATATTGTTTCATTGTGGATTATATGTATCGTGCAGGTTATGGAAATATAACTTTCATTTTATATTTTTTTTCCAGTGTTACAGGTTTGCATTTGATTTGTGTCCAATAATCCGACGATAAAATGACATTTATTTTATGTCGCTCTTCGATATTATTTTCCGCTAATCCTAAGCCAATCCGAGACAAATATTAATGTTTAATTTTTTTGAAGCCAAATTCAGACGCTTGCACAACCTCAACGAGAACCGACGCAACGTCAACCAAAATAAGACGCAAAAATTTATGAAAAATTTTTACAACGCTAAACATACGAAAATTATATTCCCGACCCTTGTTTTACCTGAGAAAAAAATCTGATGTAAATCAGGCGCAAAGAAGATGATAACCCTAAAATATCTTTGGATTAACCTCTGATTTATGTTTGATATGTCCGATGCAAGTTCTTCAAATTCCTGTAGTGTACAATAATGAGTAGTGAAATCGCGTAATGTTTATTTTTTATTCATGAAATGAATAAGAATGGGGTTTGGAAGATTCAATTTTGTACTCCTGGTAAAGTAGGTATAACAGAGGGTATTATGGTCAATACATAGTTATAGAGCCTGGAGCCTTAGATGGCACCCGATCGGGTCTTGATCAGTGCAACTATGCGCCGTGAGTTTAAGAAAATGACTGATTGGGTCATGGCCCAGATGGCTATGGCATAAGGGTTGACCGAGCGATGCCGACTGACTACTAGAGATTCGGGCGGTTCTTATCTTTTGCCCGGTCTGATTGAGGACTCTCAGCGGATTCGTCTGTATGAAGTTAGTACCAGTGGCTGTTTGAGAGGGCAATCTAGTTTTATCCGCCCTGAGGTTATTTCTCTCGGTCAACATGAACTAGGCGAGTAAAAGCAGGCTCTCAAACTGCTCCTGGCGGGTCTCAGATCTCCAATCATTTTCTCTATTGCCTGTATATTTTTTTGAGATTCGTGCTGACACATTTTTTATGTATAATGGATAAATCAAGAATGGACGAACAATAATGAAATCTAATAAAATGTACGTATGATGAACTATAAATGGGAAAAACTTAAAGCTAACTAGAAATCCTGATTTTGCTAGCCATTGGATTGAAATCTCAAAATGATGAGAAGAATAAGAAAACAAAACATTCTTTTAGCCTCCCATAAAACAAATGAAATGAGCAAATTTGCTGCCAAAACCATTAACATGAACCCAACATTCACAATTATTTTCATTATGACAGAAGTAAGCCTCTTACAACACAAAGTATAGTCTCAACCACCACAAGACAACACAAACAAAGAAAACAAAGATTATACGACGAAGTGATAAGAATCATCACTCGTTGGCATTATAAAAACAACATTGATGCCTCCCTATAGATTTGGTGAGAAATTATGCGCCGAGTTTGCTTCCCGCAACATCAACAACAAAGCGATATCTCACATCGTTGCGCTCTAACCTCTCCATAGCCTCGTTGATCTGATCAAGCTTCACAATCTCAATCATCGACCGCAATCCATTCTTCTCACAGAACTCCAACATCTCTTCCGTCTCCACCATGCTACCAATAAAGCTACCAGATATGGACTTTCTACCTGTAAAAATATGCATCAAAAAGAAAATACAAGTACCATTAGTCACAAATATTTCTAAGGAATTAGGAAAAGAACATACTACAATGAAATGCATTTTATACCAACAAAATTAAGGGTTGAAGCAGAACATCTTAGGACATGATTGCAATTTTATATAAATAAAAAGAGGTATAGATGGAAAATTTACATACATACCACACAATTCTCGTTCATTTACACAACTACTCCTATAATTTTTTATTGAATACTTTGTTGTGATAAACTTCAATATAAAATGATGAATTTTATTTTTAAAAGTAAATAATAATGACATTTTTAATGTAGTATTAAAAATTTGAGTAATATACAAAAGAATAAAAAAGAGACAAATAGTTATCAGCCAAGCCAAAAAATAAAAAAAAACAAAAAACAAAAAAAGCGCCCCACCATTTCTACCAATATGGTATAAGTGGCGAGATAAACCACATCCTCTCATTGAAAAAAGAAGACAAATACCAATAAAAAAATAAAAAAAAAATACATAAATATACATCATAGAAGGTGCGTTTGAGACAACTCGTGCGTTTCAGGATAAGCGCGGCCCGCAGATCAACCGAGGAGTTCGACCCGCGGTCTGCATTTAATGTAAAATGAAACCGCGTTTTCGGATAAGCGGGCAAAACACACGAACCAAACGGTATCACAACATTTTTAAAAATGTATCCGCACTTATAAGCTGTTCCAAACAGGCCCATAATCTTATGTATTTTCATATTTAACACTTAAAAAATTTAACATCTATACTTATAAATTTATAAATTTATGATTGAAAATGTTCATTATACTTGAGAATAATGACGCGCGCACACACATAAAGGACAAATGATGGATTAATACAAAAAAATAAATACCAATAACATCAAGAAAGCTAAGTGCCTACCAAGCATTATCATGGGCGTGATGAACTGCATCGGCTGATTGATCACTCCCATCATGATGATCTGTCCGTCCACCTTAAGAAGCGACAGGTACGGCTCCAGAGGGTGGAGCACAGGAATAGTGTCAATAATGTAATCCAATCCCTCAGCCACAGCCGCCATGGCCGCCCCGTCGGAGCTCACGAGGTACGCGTCCGCTCCCAAATGCTCCATAGCCTCTGTTTTCTTCTTCTCCGACGAGCTTATCACCGTCACATGATGGCCCAACGCCTTCGCTATCTTCACTCCCATGTGCCCCACGCCACCCAACCCTAGTATTCCCCCCTTAAGCCCGCTTTTCATCAGCCCGAAGTGCTTCAGCGGGCTATACACCGTCAGCCCTGCGCAGAGCAGAGGCCCCGCCTGCTCCGCTGCGAGCCCCGCCGGAATCTTTACCAGAAACCTATCCATTAACATAAATTATATTGGTTCGTTGGTTTGATGAAGGTAAGGTGTTTGTGTTTATGCCTGACTTACTTTTGGTCGACGACCATGGCGGAAGCGAAGCCGCCTTGGGTGGGCTTGCCGTCGGTGTAGACGTCGTTGTAGGACCAAATCCGCTTGTTGCAATACTGCTCGATGTTGGCTTTGCAGGGCCCGCAGTTTCGGCAGCAGCCGACGATTACGCCGGCCCCGACAGTGTCGCCGACTCTGAATCGGGTCACATCAGATCCCACCTCCACTACCTCTCCGACCACCTCATGACTGGTAGAACCGAGAAGAGTAAATCCTCAGTTGGTTTAATCCTTCACTATTTTCTTTTGTTTTTTTTTTTTTGCAGGTGCCAAAAGATGATATTTAAGTTATAAAGATTTAATAAATGCTGTATATTCAAATTTACGAAATACTGAATAAGTTAAACCCAAACATTGTCTGGCAATGAAATTCCTCATAAATCCATTAAAAACTGTTTGGGAAATTGTGACTACATCCAGGTAAATCACAGTAGCTCTATCCCGTGAATCTCAATAGCTCTCGCAAATCCAGTGATTCACTCGATTTAGTCTACATCCAGATTAAATCCTGCTCTAAATCCGTTACCAAACGTACCTTAAAAATGTGATTTTTAGTTGCAAAGAAGAATAGATCTAGTTTTTTTTTTATTTTTGGTATAGATTTGGCTTTAGAGTAGAGGGTTTTATCCAAAAATTGTTTATTTGAAGATGAGCAATTTTTAGAGAGGATGATATTATTAAAAAAACAGAACATGAATAAATATTCAGCA